CCTAGCAATTTTTCATGAATTTATATAGTACGGCATCGGATAAATGCAATTTAAGAATGTCGTTTAAAACTGTTTCAACTTCAAAAAATCAGACGAAAATCAATGAGAAAATAAATAGAAAATTGAGAGAAGAGATAACCTATTCCTTCAGAAACAATTTCCCACTGTATGCATAAAAAAATATTTAAACAATTAAAATTTAAAAGATTCTGCGATAATATAAGAACATAACTATCCCTTCCACAAAACTCCGAAGCCACTTTTCGAAACCATTTCCTAATCACATTTTCGCAATTCCTACTACTCTATCCACCTATATAAATCGGGTCTATTTCGCCAACGACGGAATAAATGCCCCAAGTCGGAAACAATCTCCGCGATGCAGCAGGTAATGCAAGAAATCGAAGCTGGAACGATCCCGTGGAAAACGAGCGGTGACCCTTTCTTTTCGCCCTTTAATCCGCCGTCTCCATCGCGCGGTCGATTAATCTGCGGGCGTGCGGTTAATCGTTTAACCGGCGCTCGATAGAGCAGTTTCTAATTAGCGGAATGGAATGGAGGAGGCGTGATCGGATCGTCGAAGAGGGAAATCTGTTGCTGGCCGAGGTCGTCCTCGGCAAAGGGACGACGATCGTTTGTGCTGTGTTGCACAAGCCAGAAAACGACGGACGAAGGGGGAAACGAGAGAGACAGGTGGATGCTGGCTCGTGCTAGCCACGGAGCAGAGGAGGAACACGACCGGGTGAAAGACTCGAGAAGCTGGGATGCTGCAAATTGAACCATTACGGCTAGGTAGTAATAGGTACGCGACCAAATCGACTGGAAGCCAGGTCAGCCTCTAGAGTCCCGCGGGTTCCCGACCATAGTTACAACCTCGTCCTGGGAGCTCGGAGGGTTCTCCATTCGCGGAAAGCGAGTCCCGGGCAAAAACGCCACGAACGAACGTCGAACCGAGCGCGGTGGAAAGAAGAAAATGGAGAAAAAACGAGACATGGAGCAGCTGGAAGACGCAGCGGCGTGGCTAGTGTTGCAAATTGAACCATCGCGCATCGTGACTAAGTACGCTGGCAAATCGTTTCCAGTGCGAGGACTGAGGGAACGGTTACGCACTTGTAAATGTCTTTTCTACAGGCTTTGCTGGCCGAGACTATTTTACGAGTGCTGACCAAATAGTGACATTTTCAAAATAGGTACGAGTAATTTAATTTAATAACGAGTGTCTTGATTGATACTGGAGGATATTTACCCGAGAGATTTTAATATAGGATGGAATGATTAACAAAATATATCATGAATCTTATTGAAATTTGATCGATTATTTATGGTTCCTGGGACATTGTTTTGGATTCTCTTGGCAGGGATGTGTATTAAAACTTTTAATGATAAAGACTGGAATACGAGTAATTGCGGAGATAGTAAAAGGAGGTGTTACAAGTTGCCCAAGCAGCATGTAATAATAGTCACGCTAAAGAAACGGATTTTATGAAAGTTATAACGAGCATGCTTAAGTTTATTCGATAAAAGGCTTGCCACGAAAAAAGTATCCACTCTACAGACTGAATTTAGCGTTAAGCAACTACTTATACTCCATTATATACTCTTATATACTTCATTGCGATTTAATTTCTAGGGTACAAAATTTGAAAAGGAAAAGATGAAATTAACTTGAAAACCAAAGATGAACAATATCGTCCTACCGACACATACATTTTACCTAAGCAAAGGTAAAAGACAACTGTACCGAAAAATAATACTCTTTAATTCGAAAGAAGACCTTTCACGCAACTTCTGGATATCAGGGTCCAGCTCGAGTTTTGATCCCCGTGGAGAACCGTCGTCCTTATCGTAGAAAAAAGAGGAACGCGAGTCTCCGAGGAAATTACGGCAACGAGGAAGAATAAATTTAGAAGATCCAGATAATAACTATCCGAGCCCCGAGCGAGCATTTCCGAAGGAGAAACTGACGCTCCGTAGAAAAGAAACCAATGCTACACAGCAATAACGTCAAGCAATCGATGGATAAACTCGCGGAGACGAGTCGGGGAAACTCGACGATTCCTCGTGACGCTGAGATTCCAGAATAGTTATGGCCTCGTCCCGGGAGCCCCAGCATCTCTATAAGGAACAACTCGAACAGGCGCTTGGCCATTAGGGGCACGTGAACGAGACACGCCTTTCACGAGTTTTGATTTTCACCGTTTATTGGAGTGTCACGGAACGAGCAACGATGCGGAAAGAACGTCGTGGAATTTGCACGCGAACGTGGTTGGAATAGTTCGGAGAAGAAGTGGACAGCGATTGGAGATTGCCGTGTGTCTTTACCTTAACAATGATCGCGAACAATTGGCAAATTGCAGATCAATCTGACGATTGGTGTCAATCGGTGAACCGTAAACATTTGAATCTACAAAAATTATGAACCAGCAGATTTCTGGAGCTAATTTCTTCTGGAGCCAATTATGTGCGATCGTATATTATACGTCGATCCTGATTATCGATTAGTTAGCAATCCTAAACAAGGATAATTTGGTCGAAATTTTCCTCGATTGGCATCAAAATCTCAATCTTATTCCGAATAAAGAATAAAAATTTCAGCTTTACTCGAAAGAATAAAAACAGATGAATCACTCAGCCCCTATCCACGTTCATAGACAGCTCAACGTCGCTCGCTTCGCATCGTCTACGTTTATTCTCACGAATAAATCTGTAATTTCCATTCCTCATCCCGAATAAGTCCTTTCGTTGATCCTCTACTCTATCCTTGAATACTTCTATCTAGATAAAAAGTTTGCTCGTGTCTGTCGGGGTACTCGGACCCGCCGACGGACGTTGATCGTTGATCGGTGGGAGCAGCAGAAGCAGAAGCAAGAAGGTGGAAAATTCTGAGGGGGGCTTGTTTAACGGGAAAAGGCGCGCGACCGAAGCCACAGCGGCGTAAAAGACGGCCGCGCAGGGAGGGCACGGAAGAAGCGAAGAAGGTGGGGTCGCCATGGTGTTGTGGTCCGCCTGGGAACCGACAGGACCACGCATTGTGATCCGACGAGCGAGGAGGCCACGCTAGGCTGACCCTAGGCTTTACATTAACCATCCACCGTGCACACACGCACGTAAATGGCCACCACCCCTTCGGACTTAAGTTGTACCTGTTGCACCGACTAATCAGTGCCCCGCGGGCATTCTTTTGTCTTCCCCCTCCGGCCCCTTCTTCTCGTCACGTCCATCGCTGGGACAAGGTTGCGCAACGGGCACGACCGAGACTTTCTTGCCCGCGGTAAACAGAGTGGAACGTGGAACGCGGCTTCTTCGAAAAGAGGTTCCTCTCTGAAACGACGAGACGAATCGCCAAGCCGATCGACCCAGGGGCTTTGTTCCAGAACGCATTCCTCGCGAATCGCCCGCGAAAACCAGTTCAAGGCGAGGACACCAGACCGTCGATCTTTTCAATTCGTGAGAATGCCGCGGAATCGCGGTTTTCACCAACGACAATGATCGCGGGGGAGGCTTGAGAACACAGAGATGAGCTCGTCCCTTGATCTTATGGGAAAACGCTTGGCTAGACGTCTAGAACCTTAAACTTAGGCTCGTTGAGGGGGTACTCTTTCATTTTTAGCAGCTTTAAAGCGTTTTTCATGATTTATTCGCAGGCTAAATAATTGACATCGATGTCTGAAATTTGAAAGGTTTATTTATTACGTGTATGAACGAGATTCTGTTGAATGTACGAATGCCTGGTCAATTTGTTTTCAAGTTAAAAAGAAAAAATAGTCTTAATAAAAAGTAATAAATGTTGAGATATTAAGATTTTTTAAATATAATTTCGTACATCTTTCGGTAATGTTTTAAAGACCTTAAGTATCATGAATTTTTAAAATAAAAGAGTACCAACCTAATTCTGACGGTCGATTTGTTTAATGAAACTAATTGGACCGTAGCGATCGAAGCATTTCGCTAACAAGGAGACTTTATTATACCCTATAAACTTATTATATCGAGGCTTTTTGGATAGATAAGGTACAGAAAAATATTTGAATGGTTCTATTCGTCACGATTTAATACTGAATCGATAAGTGAAATGAATCGCCACCGAGTCATGTATTTTCTTCTCAAGGTTCTTTTCCTACACTCGCTATTCGAAAATTACCAATTCTTAAGTAATGAATAAGGGGAAAGGTAATCTCGAAATATCCTTGTACAATGTACATCTAAAGTAGGTTCCATCAAGTATTGCAAGTGTTTTAATTGAAAAGGATAAACTTCTAGGAACTGTTACTCTAATCTCTTCGGGAACCCTGGGGCATATAATATTTGTATATTTAAGTTCTAAATTATTTCAAACGTTAATTTTAATCTACCTTACTACAGGAACATATTAAATAATAATGTCGATCCTAGTATTTTGTGAACCATGCATATACTACAATTACACTGCGAATATTTATGCACTTATGACAAATATAAATATACAAAACTATACAAGAATGCGTATAAATGCATAAACATATAAAATATACAAAACATAATAAACGTTATAACATTTAGAAGACAAAACGTTTCTCTTCTTCATCTGTATACATATATAAAAAAAAAGAAATATGAATTTGTACAAATATCCGCAGTCTGATTCTAATAAAGTACTAATGCCTAGTAACTGTTTTGCTTCTTTTACGCAAGTTTGCAGAGACCACAATTTTTACAAGCATCAATTCCAATTAACATATCAATTTTGATAATTATCTCAACGAGCAGATCAAACTATCGTTACGGTTTAAGACAGCAAAATTGCCGTTCTTCTTATCAATAACTATCGACATCACTCTTAATATAAATGAAATATTACAGACCCAGATCCCAAGCAGTAATATTTCATCTAATTAAACAAAATAATCCTGGTCCCGGAAGAGACTAGACTTCGACTTCCCTTGCGCGTCTGTCCATTATTATCAGCCTAAAGGTGCCTCGAGGGTGCAGAGGATTAAGATAAAAATGAATTCAAGACTCACCTTCGGGACACTTGCATTCGTACTCCAATTCGCTCATCTGACGACACGTGCCTCCGTTTTTACATGGCGATGGGTTGCAGGGAATATACTCGTTCTCGCAATTCTGGCCAGTGTATCCGGTCGAGCACATGCATCTGCAAAGGGAAACGACTCGTTAAAATTGTCGGCTACAAGCGACCGGATCGGAGGCTGATCGATTAAGCGCCGTGACGAAATCGCGATCGACGGAGGCGATAAATTATTAGTTAACGCTCGCGGTATCCTGCATGGTCGAGTGTTCCAGCGCTAATTACACGGCGTGCCTTCAACGTCGATGGGAATAACAGACCCAACTCCCTCGAATCATCGGGAAAGTGTACACAATTCATCTTCCATCATTTCGAAATGGCTTGAATCGTAGAAAGGGGAAATTTGCAGACAGATCGCGAATGTATGGATTTTAACGATTAACGTACAGGAAATATTGGAATAACTAATATAGAATAAGAATTTTAAACTTAGAAATTGAACTGTACAAAGTGTAGTACGCGAAATAACATTTTCACATCTTAATTATTTTCATCGCAATCTTAGTTACAAACTAACAGTTCAAGATCTCTATTAAGATTAAAAAGACCAATTGATAATGCATAATCTATGTTTGCTAATTTCACAATTAAAAGTGTCACGTATTCCTTGAGCCATCTCAAAATGTTTTTTTTTTTCTAAGATATAATAAATGACTCCATAAAATCTCACAAGTGCATATAGGTATTCACATTTAACAGTTACAAACAGATCACGCGCTTATCCAAAATTCAGCGCCAAAAAACTTCGAATTTGAAAATTCTTTAAATGTCAATGAATTTGTATTCTCTACTTGATGTCGTATTTCATATTATAATAGAATCAGCAATTATAACTCTATCGCAACGATACCGTAATAAATCTTGGTCCTGTTATAACCAACAAATACCACTATTAACAACTGCAGTATTGCTTACGACAACAATAAACAAATATCGTTTATACTCCCAAATCAATGTACATCTACATTCCCAACCGATCGTACCGATCATAACTTTAAACTAAAATTGCACGTTTTAATTTTACAGATACCAACGTACCGTCTTATATGTTAAACTATGAACAATTGACCTCGTACACGTACGTATAGGTACGTGCATCCGTCAATTCGATATCGTTGAACACACAGAACCGATAAACCTCAAATTACGTCACTGTCGTTGCACCCAAGCGGTATGGAATAACTGTCGATATTTTTAGATGACGGAAAATCAAGAGCGTCCGCACGTAACGGACGCACAATAGAAACACGAAGCAATTCGATCAATTTCTCACAGTCGTCTAGTTCATTGACTGTCATCAAGGCAACGCGAGACCAGTGAACCACCTTAAGTATATCCACCGAAACGATCAATATTTATAATACCGGTTTCTTGTGCATCGGCACTTTTTACCCTGATGATATGAAGCTTTTTGTTCGCATATTTATGCATATCGATCGAACACGGGAATACCGATACGCACGTAGAGAAAGGTGACGATTCTGATCGAGAGCGATATAAACAAAAAAAAAAAAAAACGCGTTGCAAATAATACTAAAAAATGTACGCAATTCTTGTGCTGGGAAATATCGCGAGTCTGATTTATTCATTTATAGGAAAGTTCACGATATCGACACGAGGAACAGAATATATTAGCGGCTAAACAGTTTGAATAATTAATTAATGTGTAATTTAAATATTAATATGTTTTTACACGCAAATTAATGTAAAGAGATAGAAGGTTTTTCTAAAAGAATTGTTTTTTAATAATAAATTGTGTCTATCAGCGTAGTCCTGGTGGGCATATAAATGACGTTATATTTCATTGTAAATATGTATACTTTTATTTAAAATAAAATAATTGTATATATCGTGTTCAATAAATTTTAGAATTAACTTTAGTATTTTTCCTATGAATGATAAATCACGAAATACTCGTTAAGAAGAACTTTGTTATAAAAATTATAGGATTTCAAATCTTATGTACAGTTCCTAAGGAATAAATCCCATATAGCAAGTTGTGTCGTCTTCCGGGTGTCACATGAGTTGCCGCGCAAATCTCTAATGGCAACTGACCATATCTAATCATTGCTTACAAAAAAAAAAGAAGTTAAGAAACTACAATTTCACAGAAAAGTTTTTTGGGAAATTGATCGGTGTACGAACACATTCTACACCCACTGTAAATCAATTATTTTCAGACAAACTACAGTACTGTTTGTATTTGAACGCGCGTTTTCCAACCTCTCGTACAGCGTGCCAGATCTCTCATACTACGTCAATAGCAGAAGACAAAACGCATTATCCTAGTATTCTTTAATTTATTATTAGGTAGACTGAAAAGTAATGTCGTTTCTTTTACATTAAATCCAAACAAATTTTTGATCAATTTCTATTTTTAATTAATTATGTAATCGCCCTCGTTATCAACTTGCCATCTAATGTGCAAATTTTCAATGCCAGATCGATAAAAATCAATGACCTGATGAGCGATGGATAAGTATTTAAAATTGCAAAAACGACATTACTTTCCAGTCCACCTAATATTAATACTACAACTACCCTCGGAGTATTTTGTAAATCAATCTATGTTCTTTAGGTATTTTTCTATCATGAATACAATTTTCGATCCAATCTCGGCGTCAATTACTTCGTAGCGCGTAATTGAGTGCGTTGAAAACGCATTTTCCCGTAAGAGCCCACGTTAAAAAGTGAAAAATTGAAACATTTATTTCTTAGCGTTTAGGTACCCTAGCCTTCCCAAAATTTGTGTGGGTATTTTTGGGACAAAATCTAGCCCGTATACAAATTTTTATCATTTTCTTGGCGTTATTTCTATTTGGACTCAGTGGGCGCGCGGTAAATGGGTGTATTTTTAATCATTTTTTTTCGAGCAAACGATGAATGTTTTTTTTTTCCATTGATACTTGTATCCAATATATACATAAATAAGACACTACACAAATTTTCTTATCCAAACATTACGAATAGTTTGCGGTGTACATCGCTACACTCTGACAAAGTTGCTGCTTGGTGGTTGACAGCGATTAAGCTATACGGTTCATCTGGAGAAAAAAAAATATATATATATATATATTTATAAACTAGACATATAGGTTTACAGCACCATGTAGGGATTTCTTTATAAAGGGTCCCCATCTATTTTATTTTTATTCATAAAGAAAGAAAATTGTCTGTGAAAATGGAAAATAAAATTCGCTAGGGCGCCATTTTTTTTCTAAATATCGAAATTTCCCTAGAAACCGTATGGCTTAATTGCTGTCAACCACCAAGCAGCAACTTTGTCAGAGTGTAGCGATGGACACCGCAAACTATTCGTAATATTTGTATAAGAAAATTTGTGTAGTATCTTGTTTATGTATATATTGGATAGTAGTATCAATAAAAAAAAAAAAGAACGTTCATCGTTTGCTCGAAAAAAAAAAAATGATTAAAAATACACCCATTTACCGCGCGCGCACTGCGGTATGGGGCCTTAATAATTCGAATAAATCATGAGCGAAACAAACCTCGAGCTCGCTGCCAGCAGAAGTACCAAGAACACACGCGTGAGATACATTTTCGCACGAAATCGATTCCCTCGGGTCACGGAAGGACGCTCTCCTCATATTTTAACGGGAACTCGTCGAGTGTTTACTCCATTTCCGAGAATCACAATCGCCGTCGACTGCTTCTTGGTATTCCGTTTAACGATCACGAGCAATAATAAACAAAACCACGTTATCACCTCACACTGAAGCTTCACACGGTACATGAAAATAAATTCACAAGTTCACACGCTGCCAAATTGCACTGGTTTACGTATCACAAACTAAATAAGTCGTTGAGCAATAAATATAATCCGATCGTAGAGAACGGAGCACAGTTCCTCCGGGGGAAAAGCGTACGACGAAAAATGGCGGCCGGCCACGGACACTGGCTCTTTCAGCCCGTATCGAGATTTATCACCGGTTCAACGCCGACACGGACGTATGACTTTTTCCTTTCTGCGACGCGTACATCTTCGATACATCCATCATCAAAGTTCACTCGTTTATCACGTTCCGTGAAATCGCTGCTTTATAAATTATTTATAGTAATAATAATGTTGCGTACGGGTACGAACGCTTGATATCACATTAAGCCGCTTTCAGGAAACGTTGTGTGTCGACGAAGAAATAAATTAAATTCGGCGTCCCGTTGAGAACTGGACCGGTAATCCACAGCGTTGTCGCTGAAATGTCTCCAAGTCACTATCGAAGTAACTCTCGAATAATCGAACTAAAGTGTAACGGAGCAGACTATACGTCAGCGTTCAAAAATTGGATCGTACGTGATCGAACGACACGACACTCGAAATCTTCGATACGGGATGTATCGATGTCACCTCAAGTGTCTCGAAACGTCGAAGAAGAGGTGTTCGATAGTCAAATAAACGATGTGCAACAAAATAAACTTGCGCGTCAACGTTCAAGGGAGAAAAGCAAACAGCGTTCATGTAGCACAGAGAGCATGACAGTCGGGCGTAAGTGTATATCTCCCAGCCGTCCCTCGGCCGCAGAGAGGAACGTGTACGCTCTTTTCTCACGCTCGTTCGCGTCGCTTTTCGTCGCTAGGCGCCGTGTTTCACTTCGACGCCCAGAATCGTTCAACGTTTTCTAACTAGTATCCGTGCACGATCCAACGTTGATCCGTTCCGGGTGACAATACGCCGAGCGTGCTCTAAACTCTCTTAAATTCGCTCAAATTGCCTCTATCCTGTGTTACGTCGAATCGTCGACGAGCTGCCCATGACGGTCGTCCGGAGGGGCACCAGGCGTTGCCAAATCTCAGTCTCACCATCGAGCTTCTGTCAAGATGCTAATTCTCGGAGGCCATCGTTTCAATTGAACCTTATTCGCACACTTTCCCACGACTATTCGTCCACGAATGTAACAAAATACTCTGTATCGAAAAGTGAAACAGTACGATCGGAGTATCCGTGGAGGATATCGAAACACGTAACGCCACGCTTGCCGGTGTTTTTCGAACACACTACTACCGAAAACCACACGAAACCGAAAACACGACACGAACAAACGCGTCCA